CTCAAGATTGACTTTGCTAATTGGGGACCAGCTGCATATTGTGTGTGTTTGTGTGGGTGATTAAATATGTATATGTATATATATATATGTACGTGTATGCATGAGTATGTGTATATGTATAATTTTGTAACTAGCGTCAAAAGATTGTTATTTGCGTAGCTAAACGAAATAGAGGGTTCAGTTCCTGAACCGATTATGTGACTCTGTAAGCCTTTACACCACCCCCCACGGGATGAGTATGGGGTGCATAATAAAGAAAGAAATTGAAAGAAATTGAATTGAAGTACCATGGTGGTAGGTGGAGATGTATAAATGTTTGGAATGGATGTTTGTACCATATCACTGGGGCTCTTTTCTCCCTCTATTCCCAGTCTCACTCCTTTCCCCTATTCCCAGTCTCACTCCTTTCTCCCTATTCCCAGTCTCGCTCCTTTCTCCTATTCCCAGTCTCGCTCCTTTCTCCTATTCCCAGTCTCGCTCCTTTCCCCTATTCCCAGTCTCACTCCTTTCCCCTATTCCCAGTCTCGCTCCTTTCTCCTATTCCCAGTCTCACTCCTTTCCCCTATTCCCAGTCTCACTCCTTTCTCCTATTCCCAGTCTCACTCCTTTCCCCTATTCCCAGTCTCACTCCTTTCCCCTATTCCCAGTCTCGCTCCATTCCCCTATTCCCAGTCTCACTCCATTCCCCTATTCCCAGTCTCGCTCCTTTCCCCTATTCCCAGTCTCACTCCATTCCCCTATTCCTAGTCTCACTCCATTCCCCTATTCCCAGTCTCGCTCCATTCCCCTATTCCCAGTCTCACTCCATTCCCCTATTCCCAGTCTCGCTCCTTTCCCCTATTCCCAGTCTCACTCCATTCCCCTATTCCCAGTCTCACTCCATTCTCCTATTCCCAGTCTCACTCCATTCTCCTATTCCCAGTCTCGCTCCATTCCCCTATTCCCAGTCTCACTCCATTCCCCTATTCCCAGTCTCACTCCATTCTCCTATTCCCAGTCTCACTCCATTCCCCTATTCCCAGTCTCACTCCATTCTCCTATTCCCAGTCTCACTCCATTCTCCTATTCCCAGTCTCGCTCCTTTCCCCTATTCCCAGTCTCACTCCATTCCCCTATTCCCAGTCTCACTCCATTCTCCTATTCCCAGTCTCACTCCATTCTCCTATTCCCAGTCTCACTCCATTCTCCTATTCCCAGTCTCGCTCCTTTCCCTATTCCCAGTTTTTCGCCTCTTCTATGCATTTACCTGCACTTGCCGCTTTGCCTTCTCTTCGCAAGGGGAAAATAATAAATATTGGTGAAGTAATGCGAGGGTGGCGGCGGGCGGAGGCGTCTGCCGTGCTCTGAAAACTAGACAGAAATGGCGGATCCCAGACACGCTGGAGATAAATAAACAATTAGGTAGCACCATTGTGTGTCAGACGGCGGAGAGAAGGGCTCCCTCGCCACCATTGTTCCCCCTTCACCGTCGCCGGCAGGGAGGCGGGCACCCCCACCACACCCCATACACATATATATATACCCGTTAACATCCCATATAACAATACCCCTGGTGTATACCTCTCCGCCTATTTGGTATAGGCGGAGGTAGACTTGGCGAACCGTACGATAAGTATAGGCCTCCTGAGTCTGTCTCCCTTTCTCCTGGCACTGTGGTGACTGGGCCCTGTTCTCTCTCTCTCTCTCTGTACGTCGCTGCGTCGCTGCCATCTTTCTTCCTCCACTTACCCCTTCCCCCCCTCCTTCACCCTCCCCCCCCCCCTCCTCCTTCACCCTCCCCCCCTCCTTCACCCTCCCCCCTCCTTCACCCTCCCCCCCCTCCTTCACCCTCCCTCCCTCCTTCACCCTCCCCCCCCTCCTTCACCCTCCCCCCCCCTCCTTCACCCTCCCCCCCCCCCTCCTTCACCCCCCCCCCCTCCTTCACCCTCCCCCTCCCTCCTTCACCCTCCCCCCCCTCCTTCACCCTCCCTCCCTCCTTCACCCCCCCCCCCTCCTTCACCCTCCCCCCCCTCCTTCACCCTCCCCCCCTCCTTCACCCTCCCCCCCCTCCTTCACCCTCCCCCCTCCTTCACCCTCCCCCCTCCTTCACCCTCCCCCCCTCCTTCACCCTCCCCCCTCCTTCACCCTCCCCCTCTCCTTCACCCTCCCCCTCTCCTTCCCCCTCCCCCCTCTCCTTCCCCCTCCCCCCCCCCTCGCCCCCCCCACCCAGAGCCTCACTGTGGCAGACACCCTCGGGTTTATTGTCATTCGGGTGGCTGTGTTCAGAGTGTTCGCGGAGGAGTCCCGGTGGAGCTGTACACGCGGCCTCGCCACTCGTAAAAGAGTGAAGGAGTGCCACCCTGGTGTGTGTGTGTGTGTGTGTGTGTGTGTGTGTGGTGTGTGTGTGTGTGTGTGTGTGTGTGTGTGTGTGTGTGTGTGTGTAGCGTTCGCATGAATAAAATCCCCGTCTAACCCATTCCATATTTTCGCCGACGTTTACTGGACGAGATCTTCTTGACTGTGGCTCAGTGCTTCTCCAGTTTATAATGATATTCTCTCGTTCCACACATACCATTTTGAATATTGCTCCCTGATGCATTTTGTTCAGTTCCTCTTGGAATTGTGTATGTCGTTATCATGTCCCTCCTCCTCCTCCTTTCCTCTCAGTAGGGGTGGGGTTCCGGTATTCGAGCCATGCACTGTTGCCTGACTTGTGTACTTCCGCGTGTTGTGTGTGTTTCTTCAAGTGAGGATTCCATGCCGGAGCTGCATACTCAAAGGTGGGTGTGTTGTATATAGCACTCGGAAGGCTCATTTGTCTAGATTTCCGAAGACTCTCAGTGCATAGGGAAGGGGAGAGGGGGACCGAGCCGCGGGGACGTTGAGCCCCGAAATCACCGCAAGGTAAGGTACATTCTTCTTCTTCTTGATGGTACGTGCAGTTGTTTATCCTCAAGATGATCAGCGGAGACAATGACGAAGCCCATTAGGTACAAATGCTCAACCAAGCATAGAACCGCCCCCCCCCCCGCCCTCCCTCCTGAAGCCATGCCCCCCCCCTCCCTTCCGAAGCCATGCCCCCCCCCCCCCTCCCTTCCGAAGCCCCCCCCCCCCCCAACCCTGCCATCGTCCGCAGGGCAGGCAGGTGTGGACACACACCAGCAGAGGAGGCTGTGACAAGGCAGGTGTCTACTCCAGCCACACACTCGGCAGCTCACGGACCATCTTGGCGGGAAACGCCTCGTCGTCTCAGGCCTGGGTCATTTGCACATAGGCTCCACCCTTACCCGCACCTTTCTGAGCCTACCTGAAGAAGATGAATGGGAAGGCCCTTGTGGATTTGCTCATTTGATGCATCACGTTAGTGTGATTTGTGTGTGTGATGTAAGGGCGAAGAGGGAGAACGGCCTAGTGACATACCTCGAGTACAGGGGGGAGTTGTGTAAAACCCTAGTTTGTGCCTCGGAGAGGCTACGGGATCCATTAAGTTCAGCAGAACTTCGGTTTCAACTCTTTTTGACCCTGTCGTAGCTCAGTCGATTAAGGCAGTGTCTGGGATGCTCCCGGACGCAGGTTCGAATCCTCGTCACGGCCCTTGTGGATTTGTTCATGAATGGGAAGTGAAGGGGAGAAAACTTCCGGGTATCCCCGTAATAGCTTAATGGTTTTCCCTATAATACCTTTCCTGAAAAGTAAAGAAAACATTTACAAAGCGGAGCGTGTCAGTGATCACCGTTTACGAGAACAACGCGAGTAGAGGGGATTGAATACGTCGTCGACAGCTTCGACGCTTACTGCTGGCAGCTCTCGGTCGTATACAGAGGGGCGGAGGGTGGTAGGTGGTGGTGGGGCTCTGTGGGGGTCACCTGTTGACACACACGCACATTAACATAGGGTGTTTAGAGTCTCTCAGTGCTCTCTCGCAGTGCCTTTGGGACGCCCTCAAGTGTGTGTGTGTGTGTGTCCGTCCGTCCGTTACTAGTGAACGTATAATGTGACTGTTCCTCTTCCCTAGCTCTTAAAAGGAATTTACAATCAAGAGCACTTTCTTGAACTAATATTTGAACTCTAAAGATCCGACCCCCTGTTGCCACGACTGGCCCGACCCCCTGTTGCCACGACTGGCCCGACCCCCTGTTGCCACGACTGGCCCGACCCCCTGTTGCCACGACTGGCCCGACCCCCTGTTGCCACGACTGACCCCCCCCCTGTTGCCACGACTGACCCCCCTGTTGCCACGACTGACCCCCCTGTTGCCACGACTTATCCCATGTTGCCACGACTTATCCCCTGTTGCCACGACTGACCCCCCTATTGCCACGACTGACCCTCCTGTTGCCACAACTGACCCTCCAGTTGCCACGACTGACCCCCATATTGCCACGACTGACCCCCCTGTTGCCACGACTGACCCCTGTTGCCACGACTGACTTAGGTATGTAGTCATGTACTTTGGTATGTTGGAAACGAGAAGTTAAACGAAACACAGAGTACAAGACACAATCAGACCAACTCATAGAAGGAAAGCAACATGTAAAAGATCTGGGAGTTATGATGTCTGACAACCTGACCTTTAAGTGATTATAACCGAGGAAAATGGTAGGATGGATTATGAGAAGGGACCGCACCGTAATGCTAATACTATTTACATCACTGGTGCTGTCCTGTCATGAGTATTGCTCGGTACTCACTTCCCCTTTCAAAGCAGGAGAGATCTCTGAATTAGAGGAATATAGAGAACATATACGGCACCTATAGAAACGATAAAACATCTGCATTATTGGGACCGTCTCAAAGCTCTCAAAATGTACTCTTTGGAAAGGAGACGAGAAAGGTATAAAATAATATATACATGGAAGATACTGGACGGCCAGGTCCAAATTTGCTCAGTAGAATAACAACATACCGGAGCGAAAGATAGGGAAGGAAATGCAGAATAGAACCAGTGAGGAGTAGAGGTGCCATAGACACAATCAGAGAACACTGAACATCAGAGGTCCACAGCTGTTCAACACCCTCCCAGCAAGCATTATAAATATTGCTGGAACAAAGGTGGATGTATTCAAGAGGCACTGTGATAAGTTCTTGCAAGAGTGCCGGACCAACCGGCCTGTAGTGGGTATGTGGGCCTGTGGGTCGTTCCAAGCAACAGCCTGTTGGACCAAGCTCTCACAAGTCGAGTCTGGCCTCGGGCTGAGCTCGGAGAGTAGAAGAAGTCCCAGAACCCTCTCCAGGTATGCTCCAGGTGCCAGCAGTGGGCGGTGTTGTGGATGGGTAGCCGAAAGGTCAGGTTACCACAGGTTGCTGGTGCCGCTCCTGTTTGTATTCTGCCTGTTCCTGCCCCCTCTCGTTGATGTTCTTCCCGCTCCTGTTGCTGCCGTTGGCGTTCTTCCCGCTCCTGTTGCTGCCGTTGGCGTTCTTCCCGCTCCTGTTGCTGCCGTTGGCGTTCTTCCCGCTCCTGTTGCTGCCGTTGGCGTTCTTCCCGCTCCTGTTGCTGCCGTTGGCGTTCTTCCCGCTCCTGTTGCTGCCGTTGGCGTTCTTCCCGCTCCTGTTGCTGCCGTTGGCGTTCTTCCCGCTCCTGTTGCTGCCGTTGGCGTTCTTCCCGCTCCTGTTGCTGCCGTTGGCGTTCTTCCCGCTCCTGTTGCTGCCGTTGGCGTTCTTCCCGCTCCTGTTGCTGCCGTTGGCGTTCTTCCCGCTCCTGTTGCTGCCGTTGGCGTTCTTGCACGTCTTCAGGAGTCCATGTGTGCTGCACCACCTTAATATGCACCAATGTACGCGAGCGAACTCTGATTAGCCTTGCATTAGGGACAGTACTTGGCCGGTCAGGAGAGAGTGACTGGTATCGTCAACATCAGAGTGCGCCGGGCCTGACAAACGGGGGACTGCTGTAATGGTAAACCTGAAGGAGCAAGTCGGCAGATGTGGGAGGAACAAGGCCCTCAGCCCGGTAATAATGACCCTGGGTACACCACCTTCACTATTCATTCATGAATAATGTAATACCACACGCAGATGGAGGGGTGGGAGCGTGGCCCTTCCCCTCCCTCCGTCTTCATCGCTGTTGCCACTTCCCTCTTCCTTGTAACAAAGAATAGGAGACGCACTAAGACGCTTCCAGCCTTCAAGAATGGGTCCTGGTGGTCCTATTGGGCCACAAGGCATGTTTTCCCCTTCTGTTTGAGCGCTCCGTTTTGGTGAATCGAACTGGGACTGTGATCTCAACAGCAGCAGCAGCAGCAGGAGGGGGCGGAGCTCCCTCAGCAGCAGCAGGGGGGTTGGGGGCTCCCACAGCAGGATGAGGAAGAAGGGCAGTAAGGATGTGGGGGGGATAGATAACGGAAGGGGTGCAGGTGCAGTGACCCGCCACATATGAATGCAATAGATGGGTGCGGGTAGGTAGTAGAGGTCGAGCCCCTCAGGCAGGCGAGGGCCAGACTCCAGCAGGCTCCTTGCCAGTTAAGTAATTGACAGGGGCACAAATCTGTAACTTATCCTTACAGCGATTAAGTCCTTCTAAGTGAGTAGTTAAGAACGTGGAGGGTCCTGACTAGTTAGGGCTTTGTGTGGCCGATTAAGTGATTATATTGAGTTTGTGGAGACCCCGACGGTGGTCCGGTCTTGCTGGAGGGCCTCGTTTTGTGGGGTTGAGGTCTGTGTTTGATAGGTTATGGAGAGGGAATGTGGAGAATGCCAGTCCCCGCTCGATTGGATTTTTGATCGCTTGTTGCAGAAGGCTGCTAGGGATGGGGGGTAGTTGAACCAGAGGTGGTCGTTAAGGGGGGGGGGGGCACTGGTGCTTCAGGGGGGTGGGGAGGGGGTTCTGGGGCAAAGGGTGATTCTTAGCAGTAGCAGCTTTGGTTATCTGAGGCTCGTGCCTATTCCCCACATTGATGATATTCAAATGTAGGTGTCCCATCACAATGCTTCTTCCTTCAAGTCACTTGTGCTGTCCCGTCTCGAGTACTGCTCAGTACTCACTTCCCCCTTCAGAGCAGGAGAGATTGCTGAAATAGAGGGAATACAGAGAACATATACGGCACGCATAGACGAGATAAAACACCTAAATTATTGGGATCGTCTCAAAGCTCTCCAAATGTATTCTCTAGAAAGGAGACGAGAGAGATACCAAATAATATACACATGGAAAATACTGGAGGGTCAGGTCCCAAATCTACACAGTAAAATAACAACGTACTGGAGTGAACGATATGGAAGAAAATGCAAGATTGAACCAGTGAAGAGCAGAGGTGCCATAGGCACAATCAGAGAGCACTGTATAAACGTCAGGGGTCCGCGTTGTTCAACGTCCTGCGTCGTAAGAAATATTGCCCAACCTCACCCTGGACGGTTTTCTAAGAGAAGTTCCGGATCAGTTGTAGGTACGTCCCTGCGGGCCGCTCCCCTCACCACTCTCACAAGTCGAGTTCCTCCCGGGCTTGGGGAGTAGAAGAACTCCCAGAACCCCATCAACCACTCAACCTGTTGTTCCTCCTCCTCCCCTCACCACTCTCCTGTTGTTCCTCCTCTGTCCCTCACCACTCTCCTGTTGTTCCTCCTCTCCCCTCACCACTCTCCTGTTGTTCCTCTTCCCCTCACCCCGCTCCTGTTGTTCCTCCTCTCCCCTCACCACTCTCCTGTTGTTCCTCCTCTCCCCTCACCACTCTCCTGTTGTTCCTCCTCTCCCCTCACCACTCTCCTGTTGTTCCTCCTCTCCCCTCACCACTCTCCTGTTGCTCCTCCTCTCCCCTCACCATCCTCCTGGATAGAAGATACTCTTCCTGTTGTCAACTCTCTCATGGTGGACTGTCTGGGTTATCTTGGTGTAATCCTCACCCTCCCTCCCCGTCATGGCAGGTATTCTGGTTATCTTAGTTTACGTCCTCATTCTTCCACCCGTCTTGGGATGATAGGAAAGTGTACTATTTGTTATCTCCCGTAACTCCTCCCTCCTCTCTGCAATATCCGCTTAGCCTTTCCCTGATAACTGTAACCCCTAGAAATCCCTTTGATCCTGCCCCGCCCCCCCCCCATCTCCTCGGATAACCACCTCTTGATATCTCGGTCAGACTCCGCTCTCCATGATAGCAGGCTCCCAGACCTCTCTCTCTCTCTTGATATAAACACTGGTATTGGCGCAGGCGCAGAGCGAAGGCAGCGCCCAGCGTGTCATTAGACAGGGAAATGAGTGGATTTGGACTCTTGGGGGTTCATTTGATAACCCGCTTCTAAATACCTGGTACCTGCCCACCTTACGTCTTTGTTTAAGATTTGGATGGGGGGAGGGGTAGTTTCTGGTGGTTTAATGGGTGGTAGTGGTGGGGGGGGAGGGAGGGATAGTTAGCCAGCGCCGGCTAGATCGGCACCCAACGTTGTGGGGTAGGTGGCTAGATGGGACCCGGGTTTGTGTGGGGGTAGTTGGTCAGATCGATGTCGACGTTGTTGGTAGTCGGTCAGATCGACGTCGAGGCTGTGGTGGGGGGGGGGTAGTCGGTCAGATCGACGTCGAGGCTGTGGTTAGCTGATAGAAGAAGCATACAGGGAAGAGCTTGTTTACCAGCTGTATGCCACGGCCATTGTGATATCAAGAGCTAAGTGTTGTATGGCTGTATGGCAAGGCTCTCGAGTAGTGACTTAGACTTAGAATGGTCCTTCTCAAGTCTTAACTCTTAACTTTCCAAACCGAGGAGGAAGAAGAAGGCGCTACCTAACAGGGGATTTTTCAGGACCCAGATAATAACTGGAAGGAGGTATTATACTTTAAAAAATTCATAAGAAGCTGATGACTGAGCTTTAGGACAGGATGAACAACCCAGCGGGTTTTCTTCCTATTGGGGAGTGTTGTACATGCTGCTATGGCGGTGTGTCCACTCACAAGATGAGTGGCGCTGCCCAATAAACTCGACCCCTCGGGGCAAAATTTAAAATTTAAAAAATTGGAAGTGCTGCTGCTTCTTGAGAAGGGAGTGGCCTTATCTGTTTTGGGCAAGATAAGGAAATTGTGTGAAGAGTATTATGGATGAGGACCCGGGTCATGTGGCGGGATAAACAGGGTTGGAGCCTAAGTCGAGTGAAGATGGTGGACCTGACTTGAACACGGTGGAGAAGTTGGCCCGGTTTCCAACTGTCAGATGTTCAGATTATTAGCGGAGGAGGTGGTGGTGGCCCTTGAAATATATGGCCCTATTTCTATCTCCACACATCTACAGCCCTTGCCACACTGCTTAGTCACCCTACCACGCCACCACTACTTCTTCCCTGCCACCCTCACAACCACTTTTCCCCTGCCACCCAACAACCTCTTTTCCTTGCCACTGTTGTTATCACAAACTCAGGTGTGCTTCCCCAGTACAGATTCTACAACGATTTCCATCCCGTCTTTTCTTTTCCGTCCCGATTTTTTCCCGATTTGAAGTCCCGTCCTCGTGGCCTTGGATGGTTCTTCACTCCACAGAATTCTCTCACTGTATTCCCACATCAGCTCTGCCTCTTTTGGAAAGGGTCTCATGAGCTCTCTTTCAGACAGTCTAGGGCGGCCTATTAATGATCAGCCAATTCCAGTATACCCGTAATGAGTTGGACGAGTTATTAATGAGTTTATAGACAAGTGTTTTCTTGAGAATCGGTCACCTCCTATATACCTAATGGCAGATGATTAACGATACTCCGTCCAACAGCCTGGTTGACCAGACGACCAACCGGGAGGCCTGGCCGCGGGACCTGGATGGGGTTCTGGGGAGTTCTACTCCCAGACCCCGGCCCGGGGCCAGAGTTGACTTGTGAACGAGCTTGGTCCAACAGGCTGTTGCTTGGAGCTGGTGTTGAAAAGCCTTGAATTATCCATTTAGCATTTATTGAACATATATTTTTATATTGGGCTATTTTGTACATATATTTGTTCAGTTAGGCTGTTTGGTACATTTTGTCATGCTGCTTGGTCTCATGCAGATTTAGAATGCAAGGTTTCCAAGTAACTGTAAATAAACGCAATTAACAACAGATTTCTAAAACTGTTCTAACCAATCGAGAGAACTGGATAAAGACATCCAAAGACTACCTGATCAGCCGGGCTGTGGCTTCTGTCAGGAGGTTCCTGCCAACATACTTCTCTCAGCTGATTCGTGCAACCCGTCCTCGACTCAAGTCCATTCCATCCAGCAGTTAATTAACCCACAGACGCATTCATAAATTTTAACATGCTGTTCATTCAAAACAAGAATTTTCTCAAATATAAATTAATATTATAATATATTAGCATATTGTGCATATATAGGCATAGGTTAGGTTAGGTGTTTAGGTTCGGTTGGCGATTATTTGCATTTGTAGTACGTGGGTGAAGCATTTATAGCGAAGTGGTTCGAACAAAACTCGTCAGTGAAGCACTTGTTCCGGAAGTGCTGGAACGAAATCAGTTGAGTCGTGTGGTAACCGTTTTACATTCATAAACAAGGGGTTTGGCGGGTGCATGGAATGGACTTTGGCCTTTGTTCTTTGTTTATGAGGACGGGCTGCCCTGTCAGTAGGCTTCCGTCAGCTGGTCGAGCTCTGTAGGCGTCCGTCAGCTGGTCGAGCTCTGTAGGCGTCTGTCAGCTGGTCGAGCTCTGTAGGCGTCTGTCAGCTGGTCGAGCTCTGTAGGCGTCCGTCAGCTGGTCGAGCTCTGTAGGCGTCCGTCAGCTGGTCGAGCTCTGTAGGCGTCTGTCAGCTGGTCGAGCTCTGTAGGCGTCTGTCAGCTGGTATACGTAAGAAGTTCTTTGTTAG